AAACAAAACGATATGCAAATATTGCAAATAAACGATGATTCCGAGGCTGCGTGGTTCGCGATCAGTCCACGCGAGCGAAACTGGCGCGGCGATCAACTGGGCTGCCACGTAATGTTGTGTGTCTCGCTGACGAGGTGCGTATCCTCGGCAATTAACGTCGAATTACACCGGAAAAAGTGTGATGCGCGTCCCTCGGTGCACCGAGGCCTGAGCTACGCTTCTTCCTCGCCTTGGTAACGCCGCCCGTAAGGTGAGAAACCCGGCCGTCGCCTGGGATAATCCGTACGAGATGTCGGCACGTCACGGGTTTCGGTCTGGACATGACGTTTTAACCTTTTGATCTCCCAGGCCTCCCGTAATCTTTTGAAAATTCCTGTAGCGTTTCCTATATACGCGTGTCTTCCGCTTGCCAAATTCGCGGACACTCGACCAACGAAACGCGTCGAAAATCGTCTGGTTTTTTAATTCCCGGAGGCACTCGCGTGAATAGGAATAAGTAATACGCCCGAAGGTACAAAACTGTTAGATCTCCTATTCTATTTATTGTCTAATCACGTATTTCCCAGTTTCACGTTCACCGACTGATTATTTTCCTTTGCACAGTGTCCCGCCGTTCCTGTCCATCTCACTTGACATCATTCCTATTTAATAATTCAACGACTCGAGCCCGTCAATCTTCCCTCGCGTTTCATTCTATTTAAGTGGCATTAAAGTCCAATAAATCCACGTTCGATCGTTATTCGTTTATCATTATTTAATATCGAATAATTTTTGTATCAACGTTTCGTTTATATTACCAATTGTCGGAGATATCGTCGCGAAACGTGTCGGTGAGCGTTTACTGACGTTTTAATTCGCTATATGTTGAGCAATATTTATTTAGCTCTCGGCTCGTGCCGGGAAATTAAACATTGGACGTGACGTTCGATGTGTGTTCAATTGCCTTATTGGATGAATACATTATCGAACAAGATAAATTAATTCTGTATATTTTAAACCGCTAGCAACTTCATTATCATATTATTGTTTATGAAATAAAACTGCAATTTTTTAATATTGAATATATTTTTTAGCGATCTTTCGAAGTTATCAGAATGTCTCAGCCGACTGACTATCAGTACCAAGCGTATGGTAACGGGAGTAACTTGAAAAGTGTTCCCCCGCCTCCGCAAATGGTGAATGGACAGGCAAGCACGGCGCACCATAACGGCATGCAACCAGCAAATTACAATTTCACTGGTAAACAACACTATTAATAGATTAAGAAATATTTTACGGTTGTGGAAGCAGAGTTTATGAGCGATCGCTGTTATTCAGGCACGTCGTCGTCGCAGTCGTCTCGCGATCCGTCTAGGGAGACTTCGAGAGATCCGTCGCCGACGCCGTATCTTCACACTCAGTACGGACCGCCGCTGAGACCTCCGCTGCCTCCGATACCTCAGATGCCTGCAGTACCTCAAGTGCCGCCAATGCCACCGGTGAACGGACAAAATACGATGAACCCGAGTCCGATGAATCCGATGATGCAAGCGAGGCCGCCACCGCTGTCGCAAAGTCAGCAATACCCTCCGATGTATCAGGCGACGAATCAGTTTCAAGTGCCAGTGACGAGAAGCCAACCTCCCATGGAGCCAGCGAAGCCGTCGGTGAATTCGCAAATGGAACCGCCGAGGACTGTGGCCTACGATCAGAATTTGCCACAGGGTTCGCTGTTGGACTCGAAACCTCCTTACAAGGTTGACAGTGTCCAGGGTACGCAGGCGTACACGCAGCCACAAGAGAACGTGGTTACGCCGAGCTCGCAACCGCCCAGGGCGCAGAATATGTATCAGCAAAATCTTATGGGGCAGAGGGGGTACCCTAAACCGGCGTACAACGTGCAGCACCCGAACACTATGCCTTATGGCATGGCTGGCAGTGGACAAGTTCCAGCGAAAGTTCCGACTCCGACCGCAGGACATCCCGGACAGAGAATGGTTCGTTTCTTTGCACTCGGTTTCAATTGATATTTAATATAAAATTAGGAATTGCTGCTGTCGAAAATAAGCTAAAGAATGGGAGTTCATTTTTTAAAAAGAATAATCATCATAAAATAGAGGAAACAAAATTTAATAAATAGGGAACCCTGTGTTCGGTTCCAAAGAATTATTTACTTAAACTCGTACTTAGAAGAATGTGTTTCCTTGCAGTATCCAGGCCAGCCTCCGAATCCAATGAACATGCCACCTGATTCGATGAGTAAACGGTATCCGGAATCGTATCCAGATCAAATAAATCAATTAAATAATCAAATGAACACGATGAACGTTTCGCAGTACGGTTACAACAAATTATGGGTAAGTGAATGAAGTTCAGATGAATTTTGTTACCTCTTACGAAATTTTAATATTTTTATCTGTTCAGGGAATGGAGAGCGTCGACCTCTTGCAATGTAGGAACATTTTACCTCCGGAGAGAGTAGAACCACCAAAGATCAAGCTTCACCAAGAGTTTCTAGACAGTGTTAATTGTAGTCCAGAGTAAGTATCTCTTATAATCAGGATAAAAAATTCATGCAACTATTCGATTTCTTACTAATTAATGTTCCATGTTCTTTCAGTATTTTTCGCTGCACGCTCACAAAGATTCCGGAAACGAATTCTTTGCTGCAGAAATCCAGGTTGCCTCTAGGAGTTCTAATACATCCTTTTAAGGATTTAAATGTACGTAAATTTACTAAACGTGTGCGAGAATCCGACGACGGGATCGGGAAGGATTCTCGAAAATTTCAGAATACCCGGAATTCTCCTCCCAACATTTTCGGGTCCTCGCACACCTGTAGAATCTACAGAAATGTATATATTTATCGATTGTTCGTGTGTTGAAAATTTCAGCATTTACCAGTAATACAGTGCAGCACGATAGTCCGATGTCGTGCCTGTAGAACGTATATCAATCCGTTTGTATATTTCAACGATGCGAAAAGATGGAAGTGCAATCTTTGTTATAGAGTAAATGAATGTAAGTATAAATTTTTCTATTAGTTTGGGAAATAAGTTCGTTCGGTTGTTTCTTTTGCGTAGGAAATTAATCCGAGCGATGTTAGGGCTATTATTAATAGAAATTCACCCTAATTGATGCGACGCTCAATATATCTCATAAGAAATATGCGAAAGAAGTTGTGTTTCATTCTGCTCTAAAAATCCGAACGAACTTATTTACCAACCCAATACTTGTATTTTTTATTTCAATGCTTTTAAATGCATCGTTGCGTTCGCAGTACCGGAAGAGTTTCAGTTCGATCCCGTTACAAAGTCGTACGGCGATCCGTCGAGGAGGCCAGAAGTGAAGACCAGTACAATCGAGTTCATTGCACCTAGCGAGTACATGGTAAGAGACAGTCGAACTCGGCGAAGCGCGAACTAGTTGAACTATGAATAATCGAAATTATGGACGTGTTGCAGCTTCGTCCACCGCAACCGGCCGTATATCTGTTCGTCCTGGACGTTTCGAGGCTGGCAGTAGAGAGCGGTTACCTCAGCATAGTCTGTGACGTGATTGCCGACGAACTGTCGAGGCTGCCGGGCGATAGTAGAACGCAGATCGGCTTCTTGGCAGTGGACTCCGCGATCCACTTCTTCGGCATCCCCGACAATGTGTCCCAGCCTCAGGAAATGATCATGCTTGATATCAACGGTAAAATATCTCATTGAATTCGATTTTAACACTTTAAACGTCATGTCAGTCACCGGTGATCGACGATATACAATTTAAGAAATTATATCCTTCTATCAATAAATTTTAAATAATTTAGAGACCAGAAAATAATCCATTTAAATATTGCTTGTACTTAAAAAATACGATTCTTCTACTGGGATTGTCACTGTTACAGGTAAAGAGCAAAAGACTGAAGAGAAAGAATATAAAATACAGATTGTGATAAATATGTACTTGTATATTAGTTGAATTTAATTAATAATT